GTAGGGGACTTATGGATTGCTTGCAATACTATGATAATTGCTTGTTATTTTTTAAGTTTGTCTAGACTACTTCTCTTATACCAGTAATGCGATTTTAATGAAACTAGGATTGATAGGTAGCCCAAGTAAATCGCTCATATTACACGGGTTTTCTGGTTGAATGATTTTTGCTGAGTTATGGCCCTTGGTTAAAAAAGGCTTTTTTGCCTGTTAATGATTTTTATGTTGCCTGCTACAACATGTTACAAAGTAGCTATGATATTATAGGGAACCAACTGGTAAATCATCCCTCAATTCAACTGCTTAGATGATATCATCAGGCGACACAAGACATGATCACTGATCGCTCTTGTTATCACAAGCCAAAATAAATAAGTTGAATTGAGCAAATGTGACAAGCCTTTCACAGCTAAATTTGCCCTTTTTTAAATTTGGGTTTGTCCGTTATTAATTTAAGGGATTATCAAAATACTAAAAAAAAATGTAAGAAGCCAATTTTTGGCATACAGTCTGATTTTACTAAAAAAAAAGTAAGCTAAAAGCCACATTCTTGTTTCAACAATAAATACTGGACCAAAGAGTTCATCTCAACCTATCCCTACTTGCCACTCTGGTGGCTGCTGTGGGTTTAAATCTTGCCTGAGACCTTGGATTTTTTCAAGTGAGGAAGTTACCCTGCTAGCTTAGGGAATATCAGTGGTGTCCCCTCTTGTCTGAAGTATTGCATGGAGGGGCACCCGAGATATTCATCTACCTGAGCAGCTAGAAAGTTGCTATATGACCTTAACTGTGTTGGTGTGACTTCTGAAGCGAAATTTGAATAAAAAGGGACATAATTATGTCAAACTACCTATCAAAATTATGAAATTTAAGACCACATAGTTTTTCTCAAATGGCATGACTATAAATAATTTTTTAAGATAAAGGTTCAAGTTTATGTCTGAACTAATAGCTTTTGTTCAAAATTTCAGCTCAATCGCAGAATTTCCAGAATAATTATACTCCCATTGTGAAAACTGAGCCAAAATTGTAAATACCTATGGGACAAAGATTCCTATATAGCCCCCCCACCCCTCCACAATAACTATGTTTGGTGGGGTTATAAAACAAAACTTCACATCAATTGAAACTGAGGTGAGCTTCTGGATTCACAAAGAAACACATCATACAAATTCCATTAGCGTAATGTGAACGTCATATTACATATAAATTATACATGCATAAAGAAATACGTGATGGTAGTATGGTATTACAACCATTCAAGGTCATATGAGTGAGAACATCTCCTTAAATGCTGTTAATGATCATCTACGTCAAATGGTAAAGTTAACTATGTCAAAGAGGATGGACGGAAAACTACTGAATAGATCAAAGGGGATAGTGAAAAAACAAAATCATACAGGGGATAGTACATTGTACTGATTATCTAATATCATACAAATATATCAGAATAGATAGCAAATAAGACAATGGTGTTGGAAACCAAGAAACATCCTAGCAGTTTTCTCAAGTTATTGTACATGATACAGAGTCCCTGACCACAGCAATACAAGGACATCTTCTAAACATTGGTAATTGCCTTATAGATTGATCATTGAATGTCCTACCATTTCCCAATTATTGCACAATTTTTTTCTGACTATTGAGTCACTATGACATTTCTGATTATAGGCAATTAACTTAAAGACACTGACAACAGCAGATGCCACTAAAGGTTACTGTGACCATGACCTTAGATTTACAATGCCAAAACTGTATTGGAATAATCTTTCAACCATTGGTCACCAACTTCATTTCAAGCCTGTATATCCTATGATTCTTGGCTAAGGCACAGATTTTTTAGCTGTCTAAGTCACTGTAACCTTGACCATGACCAACTAAATATTGTGATCAAACACTATTTGAGTTGTCTTCAAACCATAGGCAATCATTAAATGTTTTTTGGGTTATATTATCATGTGATTATATATGTAAAAGTAATGTGATCACCTCCTTCCCTGATCAGGTGCATGAATATTTAATATAAATGTATAATTATATATCATAATTAGAAAATTAGCAAATTAAGGGCAACAACTCGGTACTTACTAAAACTATCTTGCTGATTATCTACCTTACATGTTGATCAAGTTACAAAATTTGGTGAATATCACATATAAGATTCAAGCCCAACTGATTTGATGAATAAAAATAACAAACTCATTATAATTTTTGATATATAATTTTACTTCCCTAAATTTCTATAATAAAAACAATAACAATTTACATGTATATTGCATGTTTCAGATATTCTGATAACTTATATACATTATATACAATGTATATAACCTAGAACAAGGTATTGCACTTTTTCTAACAATCATATATAAAAAATCAATTTATTTACAGAATTTATTAAATAAGGGAGTATTTTCCCATGACTTACTAATTGCAGTAAGCTTCACAAGACTCCATTGTTTATGCTGCATTCCTAAAGTCTATCCTTATGGCAGCAAGAAGTCATATTATAGCTTTTGTACAGTAATTTCTTTTCACAAATTTTTTTTAAGACTGGTTCATTAAACAACAATTTATGAAGACCAGTCTGCAGCTTCAATCAATGATTGGCTGAGAATTTAAAAATTTGTATTTAAAAACTGACCAATAAGTGAGCATGGTACAGACTGGTTCACAATGTGTATAAAGACTGGCACAGACTGGTTCACAATGTGTATAAAGACTGGCACAGACTGGTTCACAATTTGTATAAAGACTGGCACAGACTGGTTCACAATTTGTATAAAGATGAGTGTTTGGAAATAATCATGCATTGGGCTGATACTCCATGACATAATGCTTTATTTAAAGCCTTAAAGGCGGAAAGACACCAATATGCATAGAACACAATCAGTCACTTATTTTATGCCTATAATGAGCTTATTATAAAATATATGCACTTTTAATAATGTCTTTTGACAAATCAAAAAACAAAACAAAAAAAAACAACAAATTTTACAATTCTACAATTGAAGTGTTTCTACATATTAATCATGTATTAACATATTTACTAACATCTAGAAGCAAAATGATGAGTATTTTGCATATAATATTATAGTACATGTACATTGAAAATGTTCCATTCTGTATATTCATACTGTAAAATAGTTAATGAATGTGCTCCCTTTCATAGACAATCAACAAGACAAGGTCACACTGACACACTGCCAAATCATAGTACATGTATAAGAAATGAAAATATTTCATAAAACATTAATGTTTTAAATTTTCACAGAAACTATTTCATTACTATACCAACAAACATTAAAACATATTATACCCTGCGAAATAAATTCAAGATTTAGAACTTAATTACTGGTAGCTATACTGCACAGTTGTGAAATCTGGCCAGGCTCAATACTGGCCACATTGGTAAGTATTGCTGTTAGAAAAAATCAAAGTGACTAGACCTAGTTGTACACATTGCTTAAGAGAAGAATTCTAATATACATTCTGTTAACGTTATATAAGATCTGTACAGATTGAGGTAAACAATCCCCAAACATTTATGAAAGAAAAAATCATTAAACAATAAGAATTTAATATTCTTGTTGCTAACAACCACTAATTAATACCTGGTGACTGTACATTTTATTATTTGGGAAAAAACCCATACTGAACAATATTGATTTTTTTTACAAACTGCTACATGTAAATAGTAGCTAAAATGTGTTACAAAACCATACTGTACTTTTATTGTGAAATATGTGTGTGTGAATAACCATAAAACTAGAAATGTGTCATCATGCCACGGATGCCCCCGCATGCAGCCAAAATTTCAGATGTTATAATATTTAGTTCCAAATTTGTTTGCACAAATTATTGTTTTCATTTTAAGTTCAAAGCCCTTAAAACTTTTCAATGTTAACACAAACCATTTTCATACAATGTTCAAGGCACTGAAATTATTCAGTGTTAACCTTTTGAAAATAGCATATTTCATATTTGTAGCCAAAATAATGGATATTTGTAGCCAAAATAATGGCTACAAACATTTCCACAAAAGTATGAGTGCTGAAACTGAAAGTTCAAAATTTTTCCAATATTCAAGAAAGATAAGTTTGTCTAAAATCATTGAACCATGACCAAATTCAAACTTAAACTGCTTATTCCTAAGATGTATCTATATTATTTTCAAAGTGAAAGGGACATAACTCTGCCAAAATATCATCGAACCATGACCAAATTCCAACTTGACCTGCCCATTCCTTTGACATATCCATATGTCAAATTTGAGTTGTTGGGTAGATAATGAACAGAAACTGTAAATTTCATATTATTTTCAAAGTGAAAGGGGCATTACTCTGCCAAAAATCATTGAACCATGACCAAATTTGAACTTGACCTGGGCATTCCAAAAACATATCCATATGTCAAATTTGAGTTGAATGTGTTGTACGGTTGGGGAGATAATAAACAGAAACTGAAAATTTCATTTTATTTTTAAAGTAAAAGGGGCATAACTCTGCCAAAAATCACCGAACCATGACCAAATTCGAACTTGACCTGTATTTTCTCATGACATATCCATATGTCAAATTTGAGTTGAATGTGTTGTACGGTTGGGGAGATAATGAATGGAAACTGAAAATTTCATATTATTTTCAAAGTAAAAGGGGCATAACTCTGCCAAAAATCGTCGAACCATGACCAAATTCGAACTTGACTTGTATTTTCTCATGACATATCCATATGTCAAATTTGAGTTGAATGTGTTGTACCGTTGGGGAGATAATGAACCGTAACTGAAAATTTCATATTATTTTCAAAGTAAAAGGGGCATAACTCTGCCAAAAATCATCGAACCATGACCAAATTCGAACTTGACCTGTATTTTCTCATGACATATCCATATGTCAAATTTGAGTTGAATATGTGCAACCGTTACTAAGATAATGGACGGAAACTGATGATGACGGAATGACAGAATGACAGAATGACGGAAGGACGGAACAGGGTAACACTATATGCCCCGGCCATTACATGGCGGGGCATAAAAATGGATAGAACACTACTAAATTCAATATTGTACATGATATAATAATGGCATATAAAGGGATGTATTAAAAGTACTTTTCCATGAACTGGGTTTATAGCAAATTGAATTTACACTGTTAATATGTCCACTTTATCTCGATACACAATTTTGGCTCATCAATTGTTTATTTTATCCAAAATCTTAATTAATTTTGAACATTTCCATAAGTACCATTTGGTGGTCTGTATTGTTTAGGAAAGGACAACAACTGCAGGCTATTAAATGCATATTTCCGAGCCCCAATGTTTTTATAGGTATTTTCCCGTCGCACTCCTTCGCTCCTAAAACAGTCAAGTGAATGGGAAAACACGTGGGAAGCAAGATCGTGTTCACGTTGTAGTATCTGCACTTGTTCAAGCGTGACCGACATGGCAGTTCGGTCTTTGGCACTTTTACAGCATGTAAACCGGATTCCATGAAGTTTTCGACACAGCTGAAAAAAAAAATTTATTTCTTATATATTATTATGAAAACAATAAAGTCTTATACAACAACCAAGCTGAGTACAAGTTACAGAGCTGAACAAGTAAAGTTTGGTATGTATAATTTTGTTACAAATATCTCCAATTTGTTCCTAAAATAAACAATAAAGAGAACTAAAGGCTAATGAAAAATGATGGGTTTTTAAGTAAGGAATACCATTCTACCAGAAGTCTTTTGACTTATCTCAGTAAGAGACAAGTGTGAGCTTTCAAAAAACTTTGCCTTGTACATCCCCCAATCTTAAATTTATTCCTGTACCTTAGTACTGAATCTACACGAATATATGAGTAATATTCTATTTATCACATATCTAAAATAAAAATGTTTAACAGTTAAAAAGTGTCATTTTTCGTTGACAAACTTCTAGTGTAACGCTAACATTAGTGAGCTTTAAAGCTATATTTGTATATAACACAAATGATGTCACATCAAAGTGTTAGTACACACATGTAATATCGTTTTTAGTAAATGGGTTTATTACACTTCTGCATTGTGGCTTATGTGATAAATAGAGAATATTTGTTAGTTTTGCATGTAAGATTGAAATATATTTCACTGAGTGAACACCAGATGCAATATTTTCACGAGTGGCGTAGCCTCGAAGGAAAATAGAATAGCTGGTGTTCATGAATGAAATATATTTCAGTCTTATATGTAAAACAAATAATTAAAAAAATTATTTTCATGCTTTTTTAGTGATTTTAAGTATTTTTTACTGATTTTGCTGCGTACCGTCGCGCATTCTCCTTTATGATGTCATAACATCATGACGTCACATCATCAATTTTGAAATATAGTTCTGTTAAATGTCTCTAATTTTTAACATGATAAATGATGGACTTTCTTTTTTCTAAAGAAGGAACATTTACATATGACGGCAAATTATTTTTGCATGTTATTCCATTTAGTTATGATATTCTTTTCATCCGCATTCAGATATAGTCCAACTACAGTGAAAATTACATTTTATAAATTTCACTAGTGGTTTATCAGAATATAATCATCTGATATATTACAGTAAAACACTGGCAAGCATAAAATAAATGCTACTACTCTTTACCTGCGGAATTTATGTTATGGATTTGCCCTGCTTTGAATTTGGAACAGTCCATTAGAAGTTTTAGGGGATTTCAGTATCAAAATACAAATTTGAGCTACCAACATAGAGAGAGTCTAGTTGAGACTGCACAGTAGTGCAGTCTGGCCTGGTTCTATACTGGTGGCAAAGGCTGATCACTTTTGGTACAAGGGTTAAAGGTTAAGGTTAAGCGGTTACTTCATAAAAACTTTATAAAAGCCTTGTTTTTACAAAATTTATGGTCGTATATTGAAATAGTTTTAGCAAAAACTGTCTTTTTTTATTTAACACAAATGAATTATATACAGAAACAGAATAACAAATTCAACGGAATCAACTATAATCTTCAGCATGGTCAGCAAATAATAGACTCATACACCAACCGCTTTACAAGAAATTTACAAACATTTTTCTTTCTTTCAAGTTGGATACTTTAGTATAATAATAATCAAGATACAAATATATATATTCTTACAATTACAGACAGCTTAATATTGCTTTATCTGCTGTAAGGTTTCTTCTATAACAATAAAGCAACAAACCTCAGCAGCAAGATGTAATATTTCCACATTTTTACTCTTCTTTGTGTAGACATTATACCGAAGCTGTGCCATCAACTCTGGTATACTTCCCACTACTTTCTCTTCTAAAAAACATTAAAATCAAATGATAATTTTAATTTTCTCTTAAAAAAAAAGACTAAATCAAAAACATAAATGACAAAAAACACCTAGCAGCTCCTGTTAATTAACTCAGACTTTTTCTTTCCTTTAGTAATTTAACTTTGTATTTTATTTGTATCTTTTCTGGTCTTTTATCAAAATGGCATCACTAAGGTAATAGGCAAACTTTCCAGGTCAGCCCCTCCCTACATTAATTCGAGCTTAATCTGAATGACTCTATTTATAGATGAAACTGAAAACTTTCTTGGTAAACAGTTAGACATGCTGGAATCAATGATCCCAAAGGACCAGAAAAAAATAACATTATTGAAGTGAGGTATGGGGGCTACTTTTATAGCTGCAAGACAACACATGACACTGGCTGTTGTGAAGCATAAAAATCTGGAAAAGTGGTGTTGTTATAACTCATGTATGTATTGTTGTAATCTGGTTCATAAATAGATGCAATATAATATATAAACATGTACTTCCAGTAATGCCTATGATATGGAATAACTATTATTGTGTTCTTATAAATCCGGATATATACAATATAAGGACATAACAGGTGTTCCTTTAGAAGTAATAAAAAAATAACAATTTTATATGAAAATAAAATTAATGACTTTTATTACCTTTTACACTACTTATGTTCTCATACTCTTCAACATATCTGAAAAGACGTCCAAGACTTTCTTCATTAGTTTTATCCTGTAGTCCCGTACTTCCAAACCTGTAAGAAAATAACGATATTAACAATCACACAAAATTTAGACTTAGCCCACTTGAACCTTAAGTCGTTGGCCTTTACAACCAGTATACAGCCAGGCTAGCCTGCATATCCATGCAGTCAGTCAGATCATGCACTATACTGATGCTGATAGTAGCTCATATTTTTGTATCTTGGTACTGAAGTAGCTCATATTTTTGTATCATGGTACTGAAATTCTTTAAGCCGGTTACACAAATTAAGCAGTTTTAAGGGCTAGAAATCTAAAAGGTTCTATGAATATGGGAGAGTGTTGCAAATCCGAGTCATGCATGGCTAAATACTAATGATTAAAATAAATCAGGGACATACTGTAATGGGACAAGCAACTACCTAGTAGTTAAGTCATATGAGCCGCGCCATGACAAAACCAACATAATGGGTTTGCGACCAGCATGGATCCAGACCAGCCTGCGCATCCGCCCAGTCTTATCAGGATCCATGCTGTTCGCTTACATATCCTATATAAGTAGAGAAACTGATAGCCAACAGTATGGATCCAGACCATCCTGCACATCCGCACAGTTTGATCAGGATCCATGCTGTTCGTTCACAAACCCTATAACAAGTAGAGAAACTGATAGCGAACAGCATGGATCCTGATCAGACTGCGTGGATGCGCAGGCTGGTCTGGATCCATGCTGGTCGCAAACACATAACGTTGGTTTTGTCATGACGCGGCTCATATGTTGGCTTCTAATTGAAAGATAATTGATATATAAGTAGTGTGTTCCAGTCATAATTATATTGTTATGCCATTACATAGATCTATTATCAGGGCATAATTGTAAGACCATTTAAATACAAAATAACTGTTAAAATCTTAGCCAAGTTGTGATATTTTTCTCATCAAATCCATCTGATATGGACACAAAAATATCTTTTAAGAACAATAAATATGACAAAATAGCAGCAAATGTGTCATATTGCATCAAATTATAACATAACATTTTTCTCTACAGTGCTTGTTCCAATATATTATTACCCAGGTTTAATTAGTTATTTTGTAGCACAAATCAGAAAGGTAAGGTGTCTTGAATGAGGTTTTAAATCAAATTTTATGCACACTGTATATGTATTTTAAAGACTTACTTCTCTGCAAGAGTTTGCTGTTCATTTATACCAACATTAAAGAACACTGGGATGATCTTGACCTCTGACCCCGACTGTAATTTTTGAGGTAGTTTCTCAAACAAATGTTTCTTCATGGGAACTTCAACACATATGTGATGTCTGAAATAAAAAAAACAAAGTGCTCAATCCAAACAAATATATAAATCATTATAATTTATAATACTGCACGTTTGTAACGTCGCTTTTCATTGGATAATCGTGATGTTTATATAGTTTTATATACACGGCTGCTGTCGATTAATAAAGAAATCTCGCTTTATTCCTCTAAAAATGATGCTTGCTGTATTATAAATTCGTTATAAATATTTCTAGCGGCTCGGGTTATATTTCCAAACAACCGTTTATATAGGGCCAAATAACCTGTCAAAAATCTTTATAACTAATAATATTTCATTTTATTTGGTAGGGTTTTATGTCACACCAACACAGTTTACGTTGTATGGCAACTTTACAGCTTTTCTGGTGCAGGAAGTCCACAGGTGCCACTAACATTTCGCAAGCTACCTGGATAGCTTTCTCCTGTGATAAAATTCCGAAAGATACTGACATGGCTGGGACCTTCAACGGTGAAAAAAGCAAGGGGTTTGAAGTCAAAATCTTAACTACAGGCACCCCAAGCTCTTTTCAACAAAGACCAGCCCTGAACTTTTTTCTTTTCTTTTTCTCATTTTTATTCTTGTCTATAAATACTGCTTACCTGTTCAGATCAGGATAAATTCCAGCCTTCTTAAAACTGAAATACATAAATTAGCAAAGTAAAACATAAGGTTTAAGGTAAAACACTTTTTGAATCAAACTTATTTTTTTGGCCAATTCAGAAAGTAAAAGTACTATCAGGTGTTAAATTCAAGCGAATAAAGCTAATTAAATGCATGGGAATTATAATTTAAAGAAATTCCCATACAAAGTGTTGAATAGCCCATAGTCCATAACAAATGGGATTGAAATATGTTGACAAAGAAATCAGTTATATTTTACATAAAACATGAAAAGCAACAGGATTCAGATTGTAAATATTTTTCATATACATGTATTTTCTGTATTTTTCATTTTTAGTATCATCACAGCTGGACTTATATTGCCTAACCATTTTGGTCAGTCCACTTCACCATTTAGAAATGTATTTTGCATTTTTATAGTAAATTTTTTATCAATTTTGGAGCTAAGTATCTTATAACTGTATTAAAATTTGTCAATGGGGGGGGGAACAACTCAGATTGAAGGGATATACAAAGTGTTACGCAGTTACTTGTTTTTAGAATTTCTTTATCAAAATTTATATAGATTTAACAATTATCTAATAAGTTGGTCTTGAAATTGAACAATTAAACGTAATTAAATATTCTGTGTAAAGTATTGGCGTAAAGAGCAAAGACAAATATATAAAGTTGAAAATCATAGACATTATTGTAATGAGTTTCTTCATGAGGGATAATGGAGAATGTCACATGATTGTGTCAACATTTCTTACACGCCCTAGCTCTGGTTTAAAGAGTATTATGCTTAAATTTGATATTTGAAAATACTGAAAATTGTTACAATGTCTCTTTGTAAATATAAAATCAACATGTTTTGACTTCAAACAAAGTACATATGTTATGTTTTAAACTCTACACACTACAGGTGGACATAATATAAAAATATAAACTGGTAGGTTTTCTTTTAAAAAATTTTACCAACTTTATTGACCTGTATTAGAGAATGCAGCTTCTCATACAAAGTTTGTACATTCTTTTATTCAAATTAAACATATTCAGTAAGAATTTCATAGCTTTCAATAATTTCTGTAGTTAAATTATTTTATTCAAAGATGAGCATAGTATATCTTTAAATCTTCAATCAATAATCTTGAGGGGGACCGTAAAAATAAAACACCACTAGGATCATTATTTTAAGGTTTTTAAAACTACATGTATTTCATTGTTCATGTATGTAAATTGCATGATAATGATGACAATTTAAAGGATACCTGTTTCATAAAATGTAACATAAAAGTTAACTTCCAATTCTTAAACATCAAACTGCAAGTACTAAGCGTCTAAGTTTGCTACCCAAGCATTCTTTGCCATTTACAATAAACAAAACAAACATATAACAACTTTTTCTCAGGTCAAAATATATTCTATGCTAAGCTAGTTAAATTTATAAGTCTCACCTTTTTGTACACAATTCTATAGAATTTTTCTGTGCTGTTTCTTGGACAAGTCTGAATGTGACGGTACCAAGGTCGTCCATGGCAACCACCATATCTTCTAACATACCTGATTCATCGCTATGGCAACTGAGTAGACCTTCCATTTCGATTAGGACTCCTATATTACTTAACTGTTCCAAAATGGCTGTATCACCCAAGTAACAGTTGACATGTACCAAGAATCCAGTGACTAGACTTGTTAGCTGAATTTACACGGAATATAACACTAAATGAGCCGCGTCATGACAAAACCAACATAATGGGTTTGCGACCAGCATGGATCCAGACCAGCCTGCGCCTCCGCGCAGTCTGATCAGGATCCATGCTGTTCGCTATCAGTTCCTCTACTTGTAATAGAGTTGGTCAGCGAACAGCATGGATCCTGATCAGACTGCGCGGATGCGCAGGCTGGTCTGGATCCATGCTGGTCGCAAACGCACTACGTTGGTTTTGTCGTGACACGGCTCAAATATCTAACATGGACTTGCCCATCTTTCAATCTGGACATAACCATTCATCATATTTAGGGGGGAATGAATGAATTCCAAAACAGATGCACCGGCTGATCTTGGTCTGCACTGGTTGCATGGGTAAATTCTTATCAACTGAATGTGAAATTCCTTGTCATAAAAGTAGCAAATTGTAAACACAGTAGCATTTTCAACTCCACATAAAATACTTAGTACTTATTGGCAAAAAGCAACATACGCAAAACATAGTTCAGTTAATAGGCAAATGATTAGTTATCACTGAAATACTACAGATTTACAAAAGGTTGTGTAACAAACTTACTGCATGACTAAATGCTACATCCCGTCTACATTTTATTGTATGCATCAACTTGAGATTATCTTTGTGTTCCTGAAAACATTAAGAAAGGCACTTTTTGCCATCTTTTGAAAATAAAAATCCCTTGTCGCTACTATGAATTTTATGTATGTTACTTAGAGACATTCTTATCCTCAGGTAAATCTATCAATCAAGGCATTGGTTGAATGTTTCCAGACAGGAGGTGGTGTTGATAGTTTTCACTACAGATCATGGCAGTAAACCACAATGAATTTACCAGAACACATTTCCACCACCACATCATTCCTAAGCAGGCTGTCAATCAGTGTATCAGTACTAGTTGCTTTCACTTTCAAGGAACTGATAACTATTCTACAATGTCATGCTAAGGCTAGTGTGAATGACTGAAGAAAGAATTTCATGATCAATCACAATCAATGTGACCTGCATCATCCAGGAAATAAACCTTGGTCACCCAGACAGAAGAGAAGCAGGAGAGGTAAATATACAGTAGTTTTATTATTTGATGTATGATCACCTCTTTGTATGAAAAAATATATTTGTTTGTTTCCTTTTGATCAAATGGCGCATGCATACATAAAATCATTGCTAAATTGTTAAGGGCATAAAGTTTTGTTCTGGAACATTTTATCATTTTTACATACAATATGAATGTGTATCACAGTATGTCCTTTAAAGGCCTAAAACAGCGATACCTACCATGAGATCAAGGAAAGACATAAAGTGGGTTGCTTTTTGGCACACAATTTCCACAAAACTTTTTAGTTTCATCACAGCTGGACTTATATCTCCTAACCATTTCGGTCTGTCCATTGTACCGGATTTATTCTGCACAAGATCCTCGACCATTGATGTCAAACATACAAGAGCTGCCTCTGTATTCACTCGGGTCATATCCTATTATAAAAAAAAAAAACAAAAAATTATATTCAAAATGTTTTCCATAAACTTTTTATTCAGTATTATTTGATTTTCTTTTAACATCAGTATTATTTGATTTTCTTTTATCATGAAGCCAAATTAAGCAAAATTAATTTTATAAATTAATTTAGAGCAAGAAACAAGTACCAAGGGAGTTAACTCTTAGCCTGAAAAACCGATTTTAGCCATAAGTCCAGTGCAAACTAAGATCAGTTGGCACAACAGTGCCCTCTAATCATGGTTTGAACTGTTCCCCTTTAGTCAGAATTTATTTTTAAGTTTTCCCTAAAGAATGGACAAGTTCATATAAAATATTAAGCAAGGTAAAGATTAATATATAAATGTTTAACATCCGCCACAATCTTAGTAACATTAAAATACACCAACACATATTTCAAAATAAAATCATTTTCAATCAAACAAAACGAAAAATATATAAATCATTTACCCAGGGTTCCATTGTAGGACTTTTAACAAAACAACTTCCTGTCCATTTCCAATCCTTCTCAGGAGATTTCTCGTTTTCTTTTGTTTTCTGTTCTGCTAGAGCTTCAAACTCCTCATGTATATCAGCCAGTTTGTTGGCTGTTTCTTGTAATATTGGGCTCTCACAGTCGTGTACTAATTCTTTCACCTGTTTATAGCATGGTAATGAATTGTTATAATCACGAAAAATTTGACTTCCTTAATTAATTTATTTTATGGGGAAAAAAAGGGTCATGTTTGTTGTTGTTTCAATATTTTAAAACTCACATTATTATAGCTTTTCATGTCTGGCTATTATATAAATACATGTAACAAATAGGTTTGTGAGTAACAGTAAAAATATTATCCAGTGGAAAATAATGTTACCCTTGACTACTGCCTTGGGTAACAGAATTTTCACAAGGGATGATATTTTTGCTGTTACTCACAAACCTATGTGTTATTTATTTCATTACTTCAAACAATTTCATTGGGACACTGTTTCTATAGGTTTTTATTTGTCAGAATTTTACAGTGAAAAAGTAGCTCTGTTACCTATGTAACAGTACAATACAGGTTTTGAATCAACAAAAAGAATAACTCCAATTGGCCTTTTGGAAATTAAAAGTACCAATAGTGGGGGGTAATAAACATGTACATGTATATTAGTGTAGAGAGTTGTAAGGTTATATAATTCAAATCATTAAACAAGAGTTATAAAACAAACCACTGTTTATACAAGCCATATAACCTGTCAAAATTACTCACAGACAAGTATAGGGAACAATAGGTAATAGTAAAATTATATTTATTCTGTCTATATTGTGGCATTCTTAAACAATCTTATTATTTATTTCTGAATCAAAGGAAAGCTCCAATATTTTTCCTACAGACCTGCAACTGAAATACAACAAGGGGCCATTTTTTTCTTCTTCTGGTTAAAAGAAGACCATCAGCCCCTTATTCCAATATTCTCTTTTGTTCTGTTATCAGTTAGACGGCCCCCTATTTATTTTTGGTAGTGCGGACAGACCACTAGGGACATAGAATTATACATTTGCATGTCCAAAATGATTAACTTAGCATATCAAAACAGGAAACAACCACAAATCATATACCTTTTCTGCTAATTCAGATGTAGCTGTAGTTAAACTTTCTGCATTCCCCTGTAGGGCTTCTTGGCATACACGATCACAAATTTGTATAATTTCAATCTGTAACCGATGAAGATTATTCACAAGCTGACAGGCTCGTTTGACCTTTGACACCTTGCTCAGAGTGCCCTCTGGTGTGTACTGATCTTGTAGCTGTTGAAGCATACGTGAAAGTCCTCCAGAACGGAATTTACGAGCATGAGCAGCAAATGCTCCAACAGTTACTGTATCATAGCAACCACCTGAAAGAATATTATAATCTTTTTAGCTGCCAAACACAAATCTTCCTTAAGAAAATGAACAGGGAGATGGAAGGCTGCATGGAAAGACTTTAAAATAAGTAAAATCAGTGTGAGCTCCCCCCCCCCCACTACCCACCCCCTTCAAGCCCCTTGTCCATACAACCTTCTACTTTCAGTCTTTTAATTGTAAGAGCCAGACATGCATGAAATCTTTATGAATTTCTCATCACACATCACTACAGAATCAATTTACTTTTTATTAGTTAAGCATTGTAATTTGTTATATGATGGATTTTCTCTTTAATCATTAATTTTTTATACCACAAAATGGATCTCATAATCGTTTTACCACAAAACCAAAACTTCTCCTTAATGATTATTTGTCAAAACTACTAAATGAATCTTCTCTTTAATCATTAGTACATACCACAAATGGATCTTCTCCATCATTAATTGTTATACTAAGAAAGGGATCTTCTCTTTATTAGTTATACTTACATGCTTCTGTAGATTCATTAAGGACTGTCATTCTCTGCATATGTAAGTTGATTGGTACAAATTCCAGTTCTTTGTCCCCCTTCTTACTGCTTGGCTTAAAACTACTACCTAGACATTATAGATAATATTATTTGTTCATATGATAGTCTTACCCTTATCCTGCTGAATCTGGTATAATGAACTCTCCCAGCTTTAAATTTGGAACAGTCTATTACAAGTATAAGGGATTTCAATATCAAAATGCAAAAATTAAGCTACCAATAGCTTAGAGCCTGGTCAGACTGTACAGTAGCTTGGTAAGTGGTGTCAAAGGGTAATGCTTCACCGTTCCAACAGGGTTGGGCTGAGTTATATAATATTATTCTATGTACATGTTAATGTATATTTTCACAATTAGAACGTAACTTTTTGACATGAACATTTAAAACTTAATTATCAAAAACATTTACAGGTTACTGAAAAATTAATTTGTGAAAGAAAAATTTTATGTTAACCTTTAAACTGCGGAATATGCTGTTAAATATAATACAATTTATATATAACATTCCATGTGCTTTAAATATCAGGGAACCTTTTATTTAAAACTCTTTTAAGAATTTTACATACAGATATACAAACATCACAACTGCGCCATATCTGAAATTTATCAATGTATTTTGCCCGCTATAATATTTCAAAACTTCATCATTTTAAATAAAACTAAGGAAGGGTTTTTATTACCATAAAACTGAGGACGGGTTTTTAGTACCATAATTTACAACATCAACAATATGCATGTATATATTACATAAAATGATTTCTTCAACTGTTAATCAATGACTAACTCATCCTAACAGTTCAGAACCAGGCCAGTCACGTACTGTCTTCTGCTTAAGTTGATTTTTCTTTATATTGAAAACCCCATAAAATGACAATGGACAATTCAAACTCTAAGCAGAGCGAGTCCATTTACACATATACAGTGGGGTCAGGGAAAGCATCATTACATAATGTAAACATTTTATATAACAATTCAATAAACAGTTTATTAATCATGACGTACGAATTAACACATACTTCAGTTGTTTTTAATATAAACTTATGATATAACCATTGTTATACATGTACAATCTGTCATCATCTAAATATATTATCACTATTTCTTATTAATAAAAACTTTTTCAATACGATCTTTGCTAACAAAACCTACTGAATTGCGACCACTTCAGGACAAGACCATTATCTTCATGATTCCCAGACAAACACTATTCTTTATCTATTCACTACATTACATTATTTTTAATTTTTACAAGTCTCGGTGATACATAGTCATTCAACAATATTTTATGCTTCCACTTTCTATAAACCTGATAAGGCATTAGTATTGATAGAACTTAAATTATCCAACTTGCCAGTTTAGGTTAACCATATCCATTTTCAAAGGAATAAAATGGGCAGTAATTTGGAAACAAGAGGGTCATGATGGCCCTGAAATCGCTCACCTGTATCTAGGCCCTTGGGGCGGGGCTAATTTTAACCCAGGGGCTTTTTTTTACCAACTTGGTAGAAACCCATTAGAAGATCTCTCATGATAAATATCTAAGCTCTAGCTCTTTAAACCTATTGATTTGCTCATTTTGAAAAACAGTTCATTTTTTTCTGTGTGGAAGGGGTCCATTTTCAATGAGTTTTCCAGCCAAAGAATGTAATCATTGTATTCTTGATATCAAGGATTGTTAATACAGTTCATTCCTATCAAGTGAAAGAAAATAATGTTTTGGTCACTTTTTCTAGAAAATATAAAGTTTAAAACAGTCAGCAATTTATAACAGCCATTTTTTTAGAGTTAAAAGGATATAAACAAGAGCTGTCCGTAAGACAGCGCGCTCGACTTTTTTATTGCTTGCCAATAAAAAAAGTTTTTGCAGTAAAAGGCAATACAAGAATCTCTGTATTTTTAAAGTGAACTAGTTGTTTGATACCCTTGAATATTACAGCAATGTTTATATGACATAATTTATGGTAAAGTGAACAAGTGGATAGGAATGAATTTTTTTAGATTTTTTAAGTTTTTTAGTGCTTGCCTATAATACAAAACATTGACAGTTAAGGGCCATAATTCAAATAAAATCTTTGACAGAATTACCTTCTCCTGGACATATTTGGGAATCATGATTGTAAACAAGTATTCCAACTTTCAAATTAATATCTCAAACAGTTCAGTCAAAAAGTGGACTGGTACTAAAAACTTAACCAAGATTCTAAGTCGATAAAAGGCCTTAATTTTTAAAACAAATCCTTGACAGAGTTACCTTCTCTTGCGTACAGATGGGGGTAATGATGTGAAATAGCATTAAAAGTTTCAAAGCAATATCTCAAAGGGTTAAGGCAATAAGTGGATTTTACCCATATTCAATGTATTTTCTAAGTCAAAAAGGGGCATAATTCTGTCAAAAACCTTGACAGAGTTATGTCCTCTTGTCTGTTGATGAAGGTCGTGATGGTAAACAAGTATGGTCAGTTTCAAAGCAATACCTCCAATGGTTTTGAAATAAAGTGAGGTGGTACAAAAAACTTAACCAAGCTCAATACACTTTCTAAGTCAAAAAAGGGCCATAATTCTGTCAAAAACCTTGACAGAGTTATGTACTCTTGTCTGTAGATGGAGGTTATGATGGTGAACAAGTATGGTAAGTTTCAAAGCCATACTTGTAATACTTCTGAAATAAAGTGGGGTGGTACGAAAAACTTAACCAAGGTGTGACGCCAACGCCGACGCCGGGGCGAGTAGGATAGCTCCCCTTTTCATAGAAAAGTCGAGCTAAAAATTACTATGTAATCATTTGTCTCTGTGTGTCCTACATGTATTATCTATGTAATAAATTAATTGATTGTATCCTCACATTTAGAAACACCTGACCTGGCTTAATTTTTTTACGTTGGCATTGTTTTGCTAACCTATATATTTTACAATTCAGAGTGCAAACCACACATCTTACACCTCCCTAATATAATGCATTATTGAAATTTGTTAGACTGGTTAAACAACAGATTAAGTAAATTTTATTTAGTTAGTACACATTAACCAAAGTTAGACTTAGCAGAAATTTGAAAAATACTGCACTGTGATTGGACAAAAAATAATGTTGATCATTAAATGATCTTAATAAGATATATAAAAGAAAAAATATGCCAAGTTAATGATGCATTTATAACATACAAATAAATAAAGATGACAGCACAACACAAGACATACCTTTATATGTAGATATATATTTAATACTTTGTGTATATGTGGTTTCAGTAGACATGCAAATATCTTTAAATTCATGACATGCACCTCTCCATGTACCAGTCAACTAAAATGTATAAGATATTGTTAGAAAAGTTACACATTCAAGTTTAAGTTGTTCTAAAGGTCTAAAAGTTAAACAAAGGGAACAAACAAGAAAAGTTGCGAAATTTTTTTACAGATTGTTAAACCTGTATAAAAGATCACCTGTGAACAGAGACTAGCTGTATATAAAGTTTAAGATTTCATTTTAAATTCTAGAATTTGCAATGTTATGTACAGTGTATATTAGCCTGTAGGGAAGGCCCCAGAACAACCAGGGAAACAGTGTGACTCTCCGGAAGCAAGTGTGTATACAGTATAACCCCTGCAGAGTGGCCCTCTGTACAGCAGTTATGTCTATTCAACAATAGTATTTTTTCTACCCAAACTTAACATTCACAATAAAGTTAACTTCTCTAGAGCAACAAATCTCACAAGCAACCAAAATCTTTATCTCCCATAGGTTATTGCTCTACAAAGGTTATACTGTAATCTCAAAATGAGGTTTTTACTATGTTAGAAAGGTTGCTATAATCTTAAGATAAATTTATGATAAATATCCATGTATGAATATAGTCAAGTAATGTTAATTTCAAACATACATGTTCAAGGAAAAAGACACCTTATTATATGTGTTGTGACAGTAAAACTTGACTATCATTGCAAAAATCTACTAAAACATGTATACTTTTTTATTATGTTATGGCATCCTTTAAAGAATTTCACACTTCACTAAATCTTAGTTTTATCGCAATATTTTTTCTAAAATATTAAAGAACATCAAATAAGTATCAATATTCTGCTATATTTAAATAAGATATATGAACAATTGTTGTATGATAAAATTTTCCAAGGCTGGCTAAAAAAATAACAGTATCCCAAAATGTAGAGAAATACATGTACCATAATCTGGTAAGAAGATATCCCATGTACAAACAAATAAATCAACACGAAGAACTCATCACCATATACAACAAACCAATGATGTGAATTATAATCCATTACACCTATAATTTTTTTTAATTACTTTTTTTTGTGGAAATCTATCAAATCCATGAAATTATTGTTCGTTAACATATTTACAATTTTCACAATAGATTTAATGCATTTATTAATCTAAATCATTATTATTATTATTTATTTTTTTTTTTTTGAGAAAACATTCCTTTGCAAATGGTCTGTTCTGTTTAGTAGCCATGCATATTTCATGCATTTTTCAGTAAATTCACATGTCAGAATTCTAGCCAATCAGAAGGAAGTTGTTAAAGGGCAGTTGAGATATGAACAATTTTCCATTCCAAAAAAAAATGGGTTAGTACGTGATTTCATATGGGAATGCTTCATAGCAGAACCTTGGAAACATGCCAAAATGTTCACAGTATCCGTGTACTCCATTATAACAGCTGCACAGTAATTAATATCAACGGCTACGTGGGATTCTAACACCTGCGGTAACTGAAACATTTAATTTGAAAACACACAATTTGTGAATAGTATATTCTGGAAATGGTTATCGGAAATTCAGTCAAAGAGCTGTTTAAAAGTGAATAATTTATAATTTATTATCAATATGTTTTGCAAAACTTCAAATGAATGTCACATATTGTTTATAATACTAAATCAGAACACAGATATCAAATGCTAAATCGATAAGGTCTCCACATCTCTGACCGATATCTGGTCTCCAACCCAAAATGTAATGGCAGGGAGGTAGGAAATAATTTTAAATGAATATTAAAGAAAATATTTGTTTAAAAGAAGAAAGGGGTTAAAAAAGGTTTAAAAGATCATTGGTCATTTTAAAGTGGACAGAAAGGAAGACCCAAAACAAAGGGTATAACTTAACATTAATACTTAACTTTAAAACTAGCAAGCCATAGTCAACTTTAATAATGTCTTGATTCAAACACTAAAATTCCTTATTTTGCCAGCTGATTTACCATTATAAATGAGCTGCGTCATAACAATACCAACATACAAAATACAAAAACCAACAGACCAGCATGGATCCAGACCAGCCTGCGCATCGGTGCAGTCTGATCAGGATCCATGCTGTTCACTATCAGTTTCCCTACTTGTTATTGAGTTGGTAAGCCCTGATCAGACTGAGCGGATGTGCAGGCTGGTCTGGATCCATGCTGGTCGCAAACGCACTATGTTGGGTTTTTCTCTTGATGCGACTCAAATGATTTCTAATGTAAGATTTTCTTATCCTAAAACTTCATATGAACCACCTTCAATATAATTTTTAATATTTATGTAAAAGATAGCTTACCTGACCTAGATCATTTAGTTGCTTTATTCTTGATTTTTCTTCTTCAATGAATAATTTCCTGTAAACAATATTGAAGAATGGGTGATATAAGGAATAAAGTTCATACAGTGTAATTTATTATCCTTTCCCATGCCCAAGATCTTAAATGGACGCTTTAAAGTCATATTAATTCTGTTTATTTATAAAATAATGCTGCATAAGTAAAGCTGATATATCTGCATGTTGGCATACCAAATAGCATCAAGATCTAAGATGTTGTTAAAATTTCATCGTAAAGAAGCGAGCTACCTTAAATGGACTCCTTCAATAAAACTTTCAATCAGAACATGACCACGTATCAATTTTAGGACAAATATTTAAATAATTAGCAACCACTTAAATTAAACATGATTACATGTATTAAAGTATGTAGTAATGTTCTGACTGTACAAATGAGCAGGTTTTTCTGGCTCTATACTTATGATATAGGACAGTCTGTATAAATACAGAGAATTTAAACACATACTGTATTACTTACAGAACTTTGATAGGAATCTCAAACGTATATTTGCTCTCGGCCATGTATTCATATACCATTAATTTAACAGAGTCATTTGTTTCAAACTGGAATGTACGAGTTGTAATATTTTCACACATTGGCTTTAACGTGTCCAATCGTTTTGACCGTCTTTTAAAGGACATTGGCCGAGTTAGTCGAGCCTCAGATGAAAAAACTTCCTGAAAGGTACAATGAAAGTAAATATATATATAAGAATACAAAGACCAAATTCTGCAATAGAACAATAAACTGTAACTAATTGTTAAGATATACATGTATTAAAATGACATAAATATACAAAATTTAGTTTCATTTATATTTAAGCAGTCAGAATTGGTGCTGCCAAGGGGATACATGACATAAAATGTAATATAATTTTTTTTTATGGTGTCTGCCAGTACAAAGATGAAAGTTCAATGCAAAAATCAAAAATCCTAAATGTCTAAGCAGTTAATAGTTAAAATCAATGTTGAAAATGGATGGCTTAAGCACTCTGAAAAATCCAGAACGAACTTAGCCAAAGAAATAATCCAGACAAATTTTATCCATGATAATGTTTTTTTTTCTCTGGCACATCTCTACTTCTCAAGCTTTTTCTTTTGAGACCAATATTCACAGTATATCAATCATTAAATCTTGAGCAGTAGGACCTCCTTGGCTGAGTTTAAAATCACTTTCCACTCAAATGGTGGATTTGAATCCCATTATGCTTTTTATTCTCTCATTTAAAAAGCTATACCACAACCTCAGAGAAAGTTGGTCAATAATTCTACTCTGATGCCGGTTTGAAAAAATGCATGCCAGGGCACGCGAGGTCTTCTTTTTCTTCTTTACCAGTAAAGCCGGAAAGCTGCCTTAGTTCAACTTAAAATCCAACAAAACCAAAACCGGTTAAACCCTCCCTACCCTACAAAAGCTGTAAAATATCAGTTACTTACATTACTTCCCTGCATATCTACCATAGATCCGGTCTGTTCATTTAACCAGCCAACAATTTTAAGTTTTCCAACTTTACTGTTATCAGTACCGCTGTAAGATATATAAATTACTAGTTACCAACAATATTGCAGCATACATTTTAACTTTTACCCTGCTACTAGCAACTCATTCTACCGATGGCAGTTAAAATTTCAAATTACTGAAATTACATTTCTATTTCTCATGCATTTATATGATCTACATGGGTTTGAAATCAACATTTAACTTTTTCATGAAGGAAACTTTCAAGCTTGTTTATAGAAGGCTGATGGTTAGGTCAGTTGCCAGGTGTTAGAAATATTATCTCAAGGGTTACATGCCAATGAAAATTTTTATAAAATAATAAAACATATGCGGATGATATGCCATTGCAGAGAGATGTCACTTTACTTGAAGATGTTCAAGATTATTGTTTACCCTTATCCTGCCAAATATCTTAAATGGACTTCTCACAATCTGAATAAAACCAATCATTATTGTAAAGGAAAATTTCAAAATCTCTACTGACTAAACAGTGAACATTGCAGACCATGATAAGACTGCACAGACGGGTACGGGTAGAAACAGTTGTCCTGGGCAGGCTAAAGGTAAATAACTTATTGAATATCACATAAGCCAGGTCTATAGATGTGGAAATTGGGTATTCAACTCATCATCATAAAGTATTACCTGACATACAATAAAACCTTAATCAACTTAACTTTTCTTATCACAGTTTTGGAAACTGGCCTTCTAATTATAGAACTTAAACTTATTGAAAAATAAAACTGCTGATTTTTTTTTTTTTTTTTTTAGCTAAATGGGCTTTTAAAGTCTTGTTTAAATTAGACATCAAAGTGAAACAAGAATGTGCTGTTAAAAATTTGATATTAACATAAAACAAAAAAGTCTTATTAGATTTGAAATTTACATTAAGGAAAATTTGGGTAAAAATTTTACTTTGTTAAAATTCAATATATAAATGTGTAGGAAAAGAAAAGAAACAGAGTTACAAAATTTGGTAATTTACCTCTAACAAAGAAATCTTCAATATGGTTACATATTTTGATATTTACATAAAACGTTGGTTACATAATTTCATATTTACAGAAAACAATGATTTACATAATTTGTTATTTACATAACACAATGATTTACATAATTTGTTATTTACATTGATACTGATATAAAACAAGAGCCCCTGCCAAGTGGGGGTCCGCACTCAACTTTTTTTATGAAAATTAAAGCTATTCTAATAATTTGATCTTAATGGTAAAGGTTATGTAAAGGTAAAGGTCAAAATTAAACAAAATTCAACATGTACGAGGGGTTATCTAAAAATTGGTGGACTTTCTTTGATGCATAAAATTTATTTGAGATATTGATCTGAAATTCTTACACTGCTTAGAAAAATAAATAACAAATAAACACAGAAAAATTCATATTAGTAGCTTCTTATATTACAACAATATTTAATTATACATAAACACATGTCTATGACAGCGGCACACTCCATAAAGTTATTAACATCAATGTCATAATGACGCTTACAACTTGTGCTTCAACGTTACACAGTCAATGACCGTAACTGCTTCTCAAAGTAATGTCCATTACTAAATTTTTAATGGCATTTTAACACTTATGATCGTGAACTTTTATTTTCTCTGTTCGCCTGCTGATTTTTTCCAAATGTTTATATATGTGTCATTTCCAAATTGCAACAAAAATTTATAATTGCACAATTTTCTAATTTCTGCCTGTCTGTCATTTTCCCGTTGTAAACAATATCGGCGCCTGGCGGTTCTAGCAATTTCAACAAAAATTACGTCCAAAATTTTAAAGAATTACTTAAATGACATCATAGAAGAAACATTCGATGTTTAGCATGTTTTCTACACTAATTATTAGTTTTTAGCAACATATATACGATGACTAACTGCATTTTTCTACCGTGCACTGGGTGACATGCATGTGCTTATTTAAAAGCAATATAAAATTATCATTTATTGACGCAGTTAACTGTTTCTTTTGAAATGTGTTGATAATATTATACAATGTATACTGATAAAATTTCATTACAATACACATTGAAGTTCAAGAGATATTTAAAAAGTCCACGAATTTTTAGATAACCCCTTGTACATTTTGTCTAATCAGTACTTTTGTGTCGAAGTATAAATCAAATTTGTGAACAAATAACAAAGTTATAACAATTTAAGCAAATTTCAATATTTGACCTTGACAATCAATGTCAATTTAATTTCCAAGTCATATCAGAATAATTCAACATGTAACTTTTGTCATATGTATTCTTTTGTCATGGTATAAATCAAAACCGTAAATACCGGTAAATAACAAAGTTATGACAATTTAAGCAAATTTCAAATATTTGACAAGGTCAAATAAAGGTCAAAGTAATTTTCTGATAACCCAACAAGCTGGTTATGTCTTAAGGGTACTTTTATACAAGTATTAATCAAATCTATAAATTAATAACAAAGCTATGACAATCTAAGCTAAATTCAATTTTTGATACTAATGGTCAAGTTCATTTATAGCTCAAGGTCATATAAGAATTTTGTTATACATGTAATGGTTCTTCTGCCAAAGTTTAAATCAAACCCATAAATAAATAACAAAGATATGGCCAATTGTAGAAAAATTCACTAATTTGTCATTTAGTGTCAAGGTCAAAGTAAGGTAGAGTTAAATTAAATCTTCTTTCATGTCATGTCCTTAAGATTGTTGTGCCCAAGTATGAATCCAATCCATTTAATACTTACAAAGTTATAGCCAATTATAGCAAAAAAAAAGAAAGAAAAAATTACAATAATTTGACCTTTAAGCTCAAAGTCATTTATGAGTCTAGGTCAAATTTAGTTTGATCTAACACATTGTCCTAAAGGAACTTGTGCTCAAGTATGAAGACAATAATTTATAAAACAAAATACAAAATTATTAAATGAAAGCAAAGTCAAGCAGTTTCAATAATTTGACCTTCAAGGTCAAGGTCATTAATCAGTGATTAATTCTACTTGGAGGTCTTTTCCAGAGAATTGTTGTGTCCATGTTTAAAGACAATCCATTCATAAATAATGAATAATTATATGTAAAATTAGCAAAAATCAAGCAAAATTCAAACATTTAACCTTGAAGGTCCAGGTCATTTATAACAGAAGGTCAAGTTCAGTATTGTCAACTTGAATGTCTTGTCCATAAAGAAACAAAAAAATTATAAAGTTTTTGGACGGCAACTAGAACATGATTAGCAATAGCTCTTTTTTTCTTCGCAAAAGTTGAGTTGACAAAGGAATATAAATTTTTGTACTAACATTATTTGACAGACAAATATAGTTACACTAAATATAATAATTAAGTTACTATAAAGAAATATGGTTACACAAATTTGACTGTTACTTTAAACAAAGAAATTTAGTTAAACAAAAATCAATACTTACTTTAAACAAAGGGTCAGTTTCATATCTGTGCTAAGTAATAAATCATTCAATGTGAAAATAACTTGTCCAATCTGAGTCATCTGAAATAACAAATATAACAACCATTGCACATCTATATTTACTCTTATAAGCAAAACATCGTATGCACTAAAAAAAAAAATTTCACATCACAAGATGGGACCTACAAGTTATGAGCCCAGATATGTGTGACTTTTGACAGAACTGGCAGCCATTTTGTAATAATTTTTTCAATATGATTACAACAATGTTAATTATATAATTGATAAAATATGAAATTTAGAAAAGTTAACAGTTGATTTAGGTCAATCATCCATTATTTTTTAAGGGTTTTTTATCTGTATAACTGAAGATCATAGATTTATGAGAGATTCTATCTAATCTTAAAGCATATACACGATGACCTTTATAATGGTGACCAGAGTGACCTTCAAAATGGTGACCAGGGAAGGTCATGCATGTTATGTGTAACGTATCAACAAAGCTACCAGTACGTCAATATGATGCCCATCTGATATAACAGTACTTTAGAAACCACTCATACACTGACCTATTTGTTTTCTATATTTTCTCTATCCAGGTTTCAAGTTTCGTAACAGAAATATAAGCACTTTTCAAGTTATTGCAAAATTTCAACAGTGTCTGTTTGTTTTCGCATGTGTAACCTTAGAAACCGAATGAACACCATTTATTACAACACGTATTGCTGACAAAAAGAATAAAAAAATCCTATATTAAAGATCGTGAATGACTTTCATATTAACACCTTGCCTTTGTTTACAGTTTTATGTGGAAAAAAATGAATGAGTGTACCTGTAGGATCAATACTGACTTGAATCACTTGATTGAACTAGTTGTTTCAAATCATATTATACAACCTTATTTTATTCAATTAGTTCAATAAATTCAAAAGAGGTGTTCAATTGAAGGGATTCCACTGAGGTTTAAAAGGCTGTAAACATAACATTTGAATTTCTTACATAAAAGAGCCGGGGCACTATAAACAGAAATATATGCAAAGATAGTTAAAAAATATACTTAGAAATAAATTGAAAATCATAATTATTTTTATGCTTTTCTTAGCCTGATTTGAGTGAAATGTGTTTAAATGCTTTTCATGTGGGTTATTTTTAACAATTTGAATAATTATTCTAGACAAACAAAGTGAATGAATGATCTGAAATTTTGCACAAAGATTAGTGATCTAAACCTACATCAATGGTACATTTATCCGAAAAAAATATTTTCAGTGCCATCATGTCAAAAAACCTCAGTGGAGTCCCTTTAATGCATAGATCCCTGATCTGTTCAATTTTAACTCTCAGATTAGTGGATACAATAAGAATTTCACTACAACATTTTGTAAACAAAAGAGCACAATGTCATGTCTATCACTTGTGTCACTGATGTGTATCCATACTGTGTGATATTAAGAATCGGTGGCTATTTCAATTGTCAATTTTATTTACAATAACACTCAGATTGTATAATATACAAAAAAATGAGCAAATCAAATATGTTAACATGTGAAAGAAATAGAATGCTTTCACAAAACAAACAAGTATATAACATATAACAATATAAATTTATGTTTGCAAGCTGATATATCATTTATTAAAAACCAGTTTTTAGTTTTGTTCTAAACTTTAAAAAAAAAAAATGTTTAGTACTGTTTGATAGGAAAAAAAAAGTAATCTAATTGTGCAAACCATGGGAAATCATTGACATTGTCTGCACTCAAAGGGGCATTTGATTTACAGATAACTTATTCTAAAATAGATCACATGGTTAAGGGAATTTCGTTTCAGTACTCTGATTGGTTTTATTAATGGGGAAGGTTCTATGATTAAACAGCCTTTAGAGAATAATTTTAGTCCTAACAGTTAGAGCTGTTTACAGGTAAAAAGAATAATCTATACATTCCATGCTTTTTAAGATGATTTTTCAAGATGACAGGAATACATTGTATGTTTTACAAGAATATGTCTTACAAAAATATGTTTTTATAAGATCACAAAAATGCTTCTTACAAGATTGTCAATAATCCATTTGCAAAATCATGTTTTACAAGAATGTAAAATAAAACAATTTATCACATAACCGTGCCACATTTGCGACTCCGTAAAAATTTTATTGCATCACGGTGCATAAATTTTAACGTGATTTCATTTGCATTATATATATGTAGCATTAAGATGCGCAAAATGTTATACAATATGCGTGTAAATGAAAATTGTTTCTTTATCACTTCAAACGGTCTTTATTTTTTGGTTTGTGATAAATAGAATATTAAATTCGTGTAAGTTCATTACTAAATTTATTCAACTAGTTGAATAAAATTATATTATGCTCGCCAGAGGCATGCATAAAATAAATTTATTCAACTTGTTCAATAAATTCAGTATTAAACTTACACTGATGTAATATCCTGTATATATCAGTGTTGCAGTAGCTTAGAAACAATGGAGAGTTATATGAAACAATAAGTCTGGGCAGCAATTATTTTAATTACAATTAATTAACAATCAAATACTCTTCAATGTTCAATGAGAGTGACTGCATGGCCAAGTGGTTAACACATTGAACTAGTAATCTTAGGATTGCTGGCCAAGTGGTCTCATACCCCATCAGGGGTAAGCCATTATTTCCAAGAGCAAAAACCTTAACATTCATTGCTTAAAGTAATGAATGTTAAGGTTTTTGCTCTTGGAAACAACAGCTTAGTACTAGTTGGTTTCAAAAGGATTTGAAATTGTTTTAATAAGCTTATAGCTTCCAACACAATCAAACTAAAAATACATTCATATAAAATAATGTTCAAAATGAAACAGAAAATTGTGTTCAGTAACTTACAGTTCCTGTCATTCTCTCTTTAACATGATACACTGTGACCTTGACCCTGGTTGTCGGTTCAAGGCCACTGGAATCCCCAAAACCAACAGTCTTCAGAAAATGGGGATTGTTGTTCTTCTGAAAAAAGTAAAAGAAAGAATCCAGTAACACAGTATACCCTATTACCATACATCCAACATTTACAATATTGTGATGACTGATGAACAAAAGATATAACACAAGTTAATGTAAATGTTGGCCAAGAAGGAATAAAAGGACAAGACTAATGTTTAAAAGAAAACAGAAAATTGTATTCAGTAACTTACTGTTCTTGTCCTTCTCTCTTAGGATTGCTTGCACACAGAAACTTAACCTGCATTTTATTTTTTGCAGATCTACATCCATTGTTAAATGAAAGCAACTTGCATAACTTACATATATTTGAAAGTTTGTTGACATCTTGTTTTATAGTAAACTGATGACCAATATTGTGAATAGTTACTGAAGCATTTATAACTTATTTATTCCCTTTAAGGTTAGTTAGAAAGTCTTTATAGCGCAAGCAATAAATTGTAAAATATTTCTCTTAGAAAAGAACATTACAACTTAATCTTCAGTGGCTTTTACATCTGCAGCCTCACTGTCTTCCATAGAAATAGTAGAAAAAAACTCCTTCAGAAATAAGTACAAGAAATTGTAAGACAGTAGAACAGGGAACTGTAAGAGCGATAAGCCAAAAAATTGGGAGCAAAAATATCATTTGACTTTTACCTCTACCATTTCTGTATGGTTATGTTGCAGCCAGTTCTGTTGTTGAGGTGGAACAATAATGTATATAACAACAAATGGGTTCGGTGGTAACCCTGTAATGTCATTTGGTAAACCATCAATTGCTGGAAAAAAAGAGAAAAATATTCAACTCTCCTACTACTGATAATTAGTAATGAACTTATACTGTCTCTATATATTTAGAATTGTTCACTTTTCAGTTCAAGAATTTCAAAGAGAAATCATTATTGTACGGCATTAATTGGAACACACAGTGGCCATGGACAGATGATTCAAAGTCAATGACCTTAATCATTCTGCCATGGTGGCCTTGCAAATGACAAAATTTTGAGCTGCGTCACAACAAAACCAACATAGTGGGTTTGCGACTAGCATGGATCCAGACCAGCCTGCACATCTGTGCAGTCTGATCAGGATCCATGCTGTTCGCTATCAGTTTCTCTACTTGAAATAGAGTTGGTAAGCAAACAGTATGGATCCTGATCAGACTGCGCCGATGCACAGGCTGATCTGGATCCATGCTGATCGCAAATGCACAATGTTGGTTTTGTCATGACGCGACTCAAATTAAACCATATATACATGCCGAGACTAATCTCCATAGCAGGATCATCGGCTGAGCCTCCAGCCTGGGTCTCAAACTCCATTCCTGTATCCGAGGGCATCATGTGCACCATAGGATCCTTGCCAGTCTTGGACTGAACCTGTTCTCTAAGGCTCTGTAGCTGCATCTTCAAGCACTCATAGCTGGAAACATGTAGAGCCTGGATCCAGCCATCCCTGTCTTCCTCTGTCTTTGCAGAAAATGTATAAATCTCATCATCCCCCTCAAAAACTACAAAAATAGAAATATTTTTCTGCTCAACACTGGTTAAATATACATCTAGATTTACAATTTGTTTTTGACTTGTGTAATTTGCTTTTAACAGGTCACACCTATTTGAGATAAGCATTGACCTTGTGGTTGAAAGATCTGATACTTAACATACATTGATTAAATTGTAGCTATCCTTGGCATGAAGTTTACTGGTGGAAGATTCTTATTCCCTTTTATGACACTAGTACTGGCTTAGCTTTAGAAAGTGGATTAAAGTCCAAAACTTAAAGATCAAAAAATAGTGTTTATATTATCCAAGATAATACATGTATAAAAGTTTTCACCTATAACAAATGAGAAATTTTGTTGTTCATTGACATCCAGTTCTACAGTACATCTCTCCAAAACAAACACTCCCTGTGGATCATGTTTCTAAAAATATAATATCCAAACCATTATCAATAAAAAAGAAATTTCATTGAATGTTTCAGAAAAGTTTGAAAATGACATGCATGAAAACTATAGTTTGACCCCAAACTTTGGACATAATAAAAACTATTATTTCTTTTCACAAATTTAAATCTAATCTAGTACTGAAACAAAAGTTTTGATGAAAAATAGCCAAACCACAAAGATACTGACAATGTTTATTGAGTGATTTTTGTAAATAAGAATGCTACAAGTGAAACTGCTCCCTTCAGTTTTCTTATTTATGAAGAACACCTAACAAATAATTTACCTTGAAATGAATTCAAAACAGTGCAATATATACATGTATTGTATATAGCATCAATAAAATATAAGCTTACTTATAATCTTTTAATTATCTTTTTCTATCTTAACAGCACCTCATCGTGAGAAATTTTTAACTATATAGTGTAAAGGAGCAGATGACATGACCGCTAGGGATTTGAGTTACCTATGAGTGCACACTTAACTTGAATACCATAAATACAAACTCTGACAACTGTGTCAGGAAACTACTTCTTTATATAAGCGATCTAGATTTTTTTTTTGGTTAATTTGTTTATAACCTTGTGGTCACAACTTCAAATCCTGCACAGGGTGTGTTTTTTAAAGTGCAACAGCATTTTCTTATAACAAATTTTAAGTGTTTGTATGACTTTTATTGTTTAATGTATAATATTATACAGGTGTAAACTATCTGGCTAGTACAACTTCAAAGTTGCCATTTACAGTTTCTATGTAACAGTAAAAATTAAACTTACAAAATTCTTGTCCTTGAAATAAAACAGTAAATTCCCTCTGAGTCTGAAGTATCGCTCAACAAAAGCTGAAAGCAAATAAGCATAACATCACTTTAGTGCAGTAATGTTTTAAGTCCTTCTAAATTTAATAGGAGTTAACCAGTTATTGCACTAAGGTGATGATACATTCTAAATTCTATTTAATAACGAAAAATACTAAGATAAACAAGCAGTAAAGCATCTATAACATTTTTATTTATTTATTTATTTATTCTTTAAGTGAGACATTTCTAAATTTATTTTCCAAGCTCTACTTATATTTTGAATGCATATATTTCATTTTATCTGGTAATCTCACAACCATTTTGACCAAATATATAACAAATTACTCACAAACAACAAATAGATGATGTTTTTATAAAAGAGAAAAGTATAATAATACCCTCTCCTTTCTTGAAAAGTTTGTCATTTTTCTGCTTTATAAACAGAAATCCTTCTCTGTCATAATTATTTGAAGCCTGTTGTCCCAGATAGGCAAGTTCTTTACTGTTGAACCTCATTGTGCACAACTTTAAATGATGATCACCATTAACTTCCTGAAACAACAAGTTTATAATTCTTCCTTATAAACAATAAAAACAACAACATAGTTTAAGCTTGTTTGATTATCATACAGGAAATTAACAAGAGCTGTCAGTAGCACAGTGCGCTCAACTAATTACAGTGCTTAATGGTAGAACATGAGCCTGAATAATTTAGTATATAGTAATAATAAAGAAGATTTCTGTCAAACAAATAATTATACATGACATAGTTATGAGTGTTGCATATTGACCAACAATTTTTTTAAGTTCACAAAGGGTCATTTTTCATCAAGAGTTATGAGTCTAAGATAGTTACCTCCAATTATGATCCCAAAAGCATGTATGAATTATTACAGGGATATACAGTACTTTACTCAATACTTTAACTTTTATATATTGGTGTTGCTCTTATAACTTTAACCAAGAATTTTCTAAATACAGTAACACAAAGGTCAACAATTCAGTCAAAATTCATGCTAGAATTACGGGCCTTGTAAAGTACAAATTTTACCTTTATAATAATTTGACTGCAAAGCAGCCGAGTCTTTTAAGATTTTGAATAAGACGCATGATTTACTGCGGAATGACACAATTTATTTTGCAAGTCATCAATAAAAACTTAAGTACATGAAAACATTCACATATACATCATTAAGTAAAATATTAAATAATAATGAAAAATAATCTTAATTAAATAAAATAAACAGAATGATTAACGCATAATCATAATGTGTAGTAATCTGCTAAAAAGATACTTTATTCTCCTAATGTTATATAGATTAATAGTTAATATACCCATTTATTTAAACACCAATAACTACAGGCCCATCATCCCAATTTTGTGATTCATGCTGCCATTTAGGTTGATTCTACACAAGGGATTTTTTGGATGTATGCTCCCCCTTGTGTCACTTAGCAAAAAAAAAATTAATTGTTACAGCATATGACAGTTTTTGTACTGTAAGTTCATTGTTTGTTTTCTTTACTGTAGTAAAGTGTTAAGTACTGTGAACTAAGAGGAGTACAGTATAAGATAACTTTATACTTAACTTAGTAGTACCCTTACATGTTCCTGGTCATTTAACAGTGTCAAATTATTTAGCTTCATGTTTGAATATTATCTAACCTTGCATAAGGGCCCGTTAAAAAGCTGATCAGTGACATGCGTTCATAACTATGGCCATGGCCAGAAGGTTGATGATGGCCTTGAAGTATATGTAACAGTACAAAATTATTTATAGCGAGCTCGAAGAGCTGGCCCACAGGGCCTGCTCGCAAACTGAGCTTAACGGTAACGTGAGCACCTGTTTGATAGTGATGGTTTTGAAAACTTTCGTCCGAAGTACCGAATTGACACATCACAACTTTTTGAATTACAAGACAACAAAAAAAGCCGAAGTATTGAATTCTGATTGAAAACGGAAGCGTAGACTGGTTACCTGCGCACTTATGTGGGAACCATATTAGGACTGGGAACCAGAATAAACAGAAGCAGTGTATAAATACCAAATGACAATTTTACAACGGAAAATGTCAAATAAAAATGAACGATTATTTTATAATATATCACGGTAAAAGTTATTTGTGCTCGCTTTGAGGCTTTGCCTTTTTCATATTAACTTAATTAAGAATAACATTCTGACATTGGGGAAGAACATTCTGTAAATATCATACAAATGCAGACAGTTCTCCCAAAAAAATAAAACAATCAGGGCGGAAACGTCAGGAGAGAAGCTTGTAATCACAGGTACATGAAACAAACTTTTTTTAATGTTTTATATGGGCTGTATACTATAAATTTTAACGACTATTTGGAGAAATATCCTACCAAAATTTACTCTCTTAAAACGTAACAAAAACGTTGAACGTCTTCCAGTTTACCGACATTTCAAATACAACAAACATATTTAGATTTATTTAGCAAGTACCTTAAAAGATAGTTTATTAACCGATCTTTCCTTTTATTTACGGATTTACTTCCTCAAACTTAATTTGGCAGCCATTTTGTGTTACAAACCAAACGAGTCTTGTTAAATTAAATTTGATTGGTGTAGTCTACAAATTTCAACCAATGAAATCAGACCTTAATTTTAATGTTATGATCTATTGTTCGTTCCGAATACTTTCGTACTTGACTGTTCATGCCATAAATTTTCGCTCCCGGAATTAAATAAATCAAAATTATATTTTCATATTCATTATTTAATTTACGCATAACCAGATTTCTTGAAATACTTATGAGACTTAATTTTATTGATATTAATTAAATAGAGGATATTTGTTTAGTTCAGTGTAAGATCGGAATATATTTCACCGAGTGAACACCAAAATGTATATTTCACGAGTGGCGCAGCCACGAGAGAAATATGAACTTTTGGTGTTCACAAGGTGAAATATATTTCAATCTTACACTAAATTAAACAAATTTTCTTTTTATTTTATGCAAATAAACGTTTTAAAAGGACATTAAACCTAATACGTACAGAATGAAAAGCGCGCCAAATAATAATGCATCGTGACGTCATTTTCGACGTCACGTCATTAAGTTGGTACCCAGTATTGTGCACGCTGGTATTTCACTGAAACAACGTAAGGGGCTGAAATTTAAAACAGTGAAATTATCAAAGTGGTAATTTCACTGTTTCAAACAGTGAAATTACCAGTTTTATATCACTGATAAATTTCTATAAACCACCGAAAAGCATGTAATAAATGTTCTTATATAAGGACGTATACTACATCCCCGATACCATCTATCGATCTTCCAAACCCCTCGCGCCATAACATGAAACAGCTAAAGACTAAGGAGATATATTTCTGTTATAAGTTGAAAATATAAAACTTTGTAGCACTAAAAATTGTGACCAGGTTTTTTCAAACAGAAAGACCCTAGCTGAAACTATTTTAAACAATTATTATTTTATCCAGGAACTTAAATTATTCCTTGGTATATCAAATCAAGGGGGAAAACTATATTAAAATATATTTTATCAATCGGAAAGAAGTACAAATTACATTATAAATAAGGACGTATTTATGGTGGCGTTTTTCTGCCAACAGTCTGTTAACCACATAATTATCGCGTTACCTATCTGACTAACTAGTTAGTTTTCCTTTAACACGATAAATAACAGAGATAACACGATAATTATATATGGTTTACTGTTGGCAGAAATATGCCACCAAAATAAGCCACCAAGCATACGCATTATAGCCAAAATGTTTTTTCATCAACGTCCACGTATATTTCACTTTAGAACTTCGGAGAGTTGTGAAATGCAGCCCTTGGACTAAAACTTATTTACTATTTATTTGTAAAATAATTAGCTGACATAATCAACGCCTAATTAAACTCAAGTCGTTTATTTTCGTCTGTTAGATAATATTAGCTTTTTCGCTAGCAAATAGAAAACCAGCTTTCCTACAATGTAACATATTCCTTTATAACACTGGCGGTCAATTTGACCTAGGGGTAAGGTACATGCGGAAGTTGAAACAGACAGTGTTTGATACACTGCGTTTTACTTTACAGCAACTGTCTACATTTTGTACTTGGACTTTGAACGAATCTTGACATTTTTGTTTTCTTCCGTTTGTTTTAATTCCGTAACATCTTGCATATTACAGGATTATTAAATTCAAATAACCGGAAATTCAGGTAAACAAAAATTGGAAAAAAATGTTGTCAGAAAATTATTAATATGTATAAAATGACATATATTTAAGTAGTTAAGAAATACATCTACTTGGTTTTCACGTGCAACTAGAAATATGTTTGCTTTTGTGCCAAACTTGAGTTTTTTAATCACAGACTAATAGTCAATTTCATGCTGTTTTATTAACAAATTGCCTAAATATTCACGATAGAAATAGTATTAACGAAACAATTGTACATGTACAAAACGTTTTAGTTGTTTTTTTTACACATTTAAGCGTGTAAAAATTTTGATATAGATTCAAATGCCAAATGAACTTGACGAAATTCTTTCACGAAAGTTTCTATCTAGAACATATTAATTACTATTACAAATGTATCTTAACGAAACTGATCTGTGGATCAACAGTGATATACATGTATTGCCATTTTTTTCATACTCGTTACATATACATTTTCATTTGAGCAATACAAATTCTTTCTGACGTTCCTCTTTTATCGTTGTTGTTCTTTTTGTACTAAAAATGTTTTTTTTCTTTTCTTTCAGAAATCTACAAAATGCAGTGTAAGAGAAGATATACCCACTTAGTTGTCATTATATTAGCTTATGGTTTTCTCATCCTAACTGCCAGATGGGCATTCTTCACAGAGGTAATTGTGTAGTTTTATCGAATTTAAATATGAATATTTTCTTAGCAAGGTAAATGTTTCATTTTTTAAGTCAAAAGAAAAAGAAAAAAAAAACACGTCATTTGAAATTAATAGACAAATATCAATGACCTTATGCATTTTATCAGTTCAGAACAATATGCGAAATAAAAATGTAATACATATATTATATGCGTGATATTTGACACCCCTCTTACTTCTTGACGCATTTAAACTAATTAAATTTTGCAAATCCATTTCACACCAACAGATGCTACTTTTTATCCTTGTCAAGCAGGCAGCAATGAAAATGTAAAACGAATGTTGTTTTTACTTTATTAAAAACAACCGTTCTGAAAGTCGATATATTTACTTTATATTTCAAATAGATATTACTTCTTTTAGATGTGGACAGTTATGGGTTCAGAGCCTGAAGTTGACGGCGATCATGCGCATGCGCTCGATATTGATTTTGCCGTTCCTATACGGTCACAGAGACATGTCAAAGACAGCGATACGATTGCTCATAATTCAAAACTCGTGCCAGCAAAACATATGCCATTTAACATGCCGAAAGTTGCTCGAGTTCTCAAAAGTGACCATATATCCAGAATCAACAAACGACACCAGCTTTTACAGAATATCTTTACAAATTTTCTACATCCTTGAGAAGTGATAGAAAAGCTAAATGTCTGAAGTTAAATATTTGAATGTCTAGTAGATGTTGATTCAGAACCTTTCGGTGTTTTTGAAGAAAAGAAAGCAATGGAGCCAATTCATTATCACGACGTTATATGAAGCAAAGTTATCTTGAACAAGTTGTTGTCTAGAGGAGAACCGTACTTCCGTAGAGCTTATTATTGTGTCGGCTACACCAAGTTATGATTGCTACACCAAGTTGTGTTGGAGAGAAGAGATACATTATACGTATGTGTGATATGTTATTACGTATCAGACTTGTACGTCATGTCAAGTGAACTGAAATCAATTCAAGTCGATTCATAAAAAGCTTTGAACGAATGCGACTCAAAATACCAACTAGGTAGACGATCTTTAGGTGTTTGATTTTTAAACCCTTTCAGGACTGAGCTACTGGGCTTTTCAGATTTTCTTTTATAAATGCAAAATACAACATTGCTGATTATAAATAATAAATTCATATATAGTCTAAAGTGAATGATATTTTCTATGATAACATTGTATATAAACTGTGTCTGATAGAAGGTGTTACATGTAATTAAACCTTGAATAATATATTTATTTAAATATATCCAGCATAAACAAAACAATATCAAATATCTTCAGAACCGCAAATATAAATAATATATACAGAATAAAAAACTTTAATATCCTTAAATTTATAGATAAATACCACTGCTTTTTGAGCTATGCAAAATTACATTTTATGTGTATGTAAATCAATATAGTACATTTGTACATTATAACTTTGATATTTATTTACACAAAATGTTATCGATTCTCTTGACTTTCATCACGAAATTTCTCATTTTCTACCTTACTACAATCTAGTTCAAGTTTAATAATCTAGAGTTTCATTAAAACCTATTCGTCCTATCATCTTCGCCTCTTTACGTATATACACAGGTTAGCCCTTAGTCATATTCTACATAATATATATAAGTCATTTCCCATAACTAGCTAAGTTGCTACTTTTTACGAGTTCCGTATATGCGCATGCTCAGAATTTGTTTCACTTCCGGAAACGGCAAGTGCAGAGGTACATCCGTGCTGTCTGATCATGATCTGAACTGTTCGATATTCAGTCAGTGTGTATTGTGATATTTTTTTTAATGATAAATGGATTTGTCCATATTGACCATATTGAAAGAAGAGCAAGTCCATTCAAGATATTTGGGCATGATTCAGGTCACCAGGCTACTATAGTACTAATCAATCGTTCTTTCTGGGAAGACGCTCACCTTTAGCAATTGAATGGCTGCACACTCACACATTAAGGTATTAAAGACCTCCATCACACCCCTCTCTCACACGTATTCAAATCAAACAATGTTGAAAATGTGCTTTGGTCAAGGTACCGGCAAGTGACTTTAGCGGCACAGGAACCGTCGGCGACAATCCTACCAAGAGATGGATGCACCCTACATAATGCATTTTTGTTTTTATTCAAATTAACGTGTTCGTTTTCCTTAATATAACATTATTTCAACGATTGTCACAGTTCGTAATGTTAAGATAATGCTCGAAGGAAAAAGTATTAACTTACAATTGCAGACAGAATGTTGAGTGCACAATATGTCACGTAAACAAACAACACAAAGTAACAAACAATTTGCAGCAATATCCTACAATATCGAGACAGCTACTGCAAAAAATCAAAGGTTGCCTTTGTAACCTTTTTCGTTTTTTCATCCTCTCCCTCAACAACGACTTCCGTTCCGCCAAAAATCAGTTTCACAAAGACACCTCGATCTTTCCCGCCAGAAAGATCCGGAACTTCAACTTCCAGCTGACCTAAATAAGAGCAGTCTGCATCCGTGACGTATTGAGGATCTTCCTTTGTAGATGTGTATAAATCAAAGATCAATGTCATTTGATCTGCTTCTAGTGGCGTGTATCGTTGTTTTGATTGCACCTCACCAACAACCAGTTCTTGACCTTTCTTTACATGACAAGCAAACACATCCTTGCATTTAACACGTTTTCCAACTTGAACCTTTTTGTTTTCCGGATGTACACCAGCTTTAAAATCACGATATACTCGGATGCCATACGCACATTTTGCAACACGTGACACTATGGTAATTGGGTTATGTCCAAATATCACAGCTCCCTTTAAAACCACCAAACCAGCTTCTTCAGGTATGATTAATCTTTTGTCTTGAAAACTTGATCTTATAGCTTCTTGTAGCATTGGTGATTCAGAAAAACCGCCGACGAGTAAGATTGTATCAACTCCCTGACTTTTCGTATCCTGAAATATCGTCTTGATATGTTTTACAGTATTTTTACACGATTCGTCGTACCACGACTTTACAATTCCCATATCAATTCGAATTTTATCACTCAACCATTTAACTTTATCTTTAAAGTCTGGTATCTCACTTATTCTATCTTTAAACAGTTTGCCTGTGTCTTCTTTATACAAGTCTGCCAAGCGAACTGGGATTTTTATGGTCTCTTTTCCAGTTTTTCCAGCTACTACTCCTCTTTTTTTAGTTTCAAACTCTCGGAGCAGATCGATGTGATCTTCTGCAGCTTCTGTTTTGAATCGCTTATAAGTTTTTTCTCCTACAAAATCAACAAATCATTCCTTAAAACTTTCAATTTCACATGTACTCTCGTTTCTCAAGACTTCACATTTTATGAAAATTTTTAGTACAATATATCTTATCATTAATTAAAATATTCTTTCACTTTGTGCAATTAAACATCATTATTAAAGGCTTATATTTAATATGTTAATAGTTTTGTTACATACTGTTATAGTGTGGAGGAAAAAGGCGTAACAACGAGTCATCGAAAAACAACATTCAAAGAATGATTTAACCATGTTGATATGACAGGTACAATGCGTGTAAGACATTGTATTGGTATCGGGCGGAATAACATCACCATTTATATAACTTTTGAATATGTTCTGATACCCAAAGACGGCTTAAGGAAACTTACAAATGTATGAGTCTACAGAACTGTATTTCGACGAAAATTTCGTTGAAGCTTTTTTACTGACCTGTTATTTTCGCGAGAAAGTTTTCATAAGCAGCATCGACTGTCGTGCCTCCCCACGCGCCACCATTCGCTGAATGTAATTCTTTGAGTTTGTCCGAATCAACGACTTCATGTAGAGTTATATCAACTGTTCCGCCTGAATGTAGTATAAGATAGAAATCGTTAATTAGATGTTAATCTAACTTCCTTTAATGTACGTTTTTCGTTGTCAAAAATGCACACATGGTATTCTCCTGCAGCAGCAGCAACAGCAACAACAATAACAACAACAACAACAAAACAAAAACAAACAACCACAAGTACGTATAACATGCTTCTCACGTACAATATGTACTCAGATCGGAATTAAAAATATGAACTCTTTAATTTCAGACCGATTTTAACCAAATTCGCATAATTTAAATTTGTTTTTATAAAATGCATCAATTTGCAATCCCCAGTGAATGAAAACAGTTGATTTACTGAAAATGAGAACTAAAAATTATGAACAATTCATTATATGTTCTGGTATAAATTTTCTGACACACGTTACTTGACTTAAAACAAATTTGAATAAAATAACAGCATTAATACAACAATAATATAAACAGCATTAACTTAAATAAGTATATTTAATTCATACCGATGAGGCAACACACATCATATATACTAACACTTAACCTTTGCATTTACACCTTAAAATAAACGAATATAGATATGTATTATCTAAGTCTTAAATATCAGGTATCGCCCAAAGCAGGAGAAATTTATTTGTGTAAACTGCAAAATAACTTATCTTACACATAATGCAAAACTTTGCGTCAAAGATTGGTTGGACAAAGTTTTTTACGAAATAGGAGAGAAAAAGATGAACAAAAGTGAAAAGGAGATCAACTTTCGAGGAAGTAGCCAAAATCCAGTCGCATAGAAAAGTACCTAGTGGCTCAGCAAACAGACACAGAGCAAGAAACGGGGGTAAGAGGATGAATCAATGTTGCCTTACCTCCAACGTCAACCACCATGTATTTTCTACCTTTAGAAAACGGAGATACACGCATGGAACCGGACATGTTCCCCTCAATTGACATTTTGTCAACCGGAAGATGCATACAAAATAACGAGGCTGCTTCCGGTTCAAGGGCGATAATCAGATTTTCTGTCTTTATTCCAGCCTAAAAGATCAAATTTGAATAAATTAAAACGTTTAACAAAATGAAAGCAATAAAATTAGCAAACCTGACTGAAAATGATCCAGGCTAGTCTGTTCGTGCATTGCAGTGGTAAATGCAAGCTCTCGTTCACGCCCTGTAGCACCGCCTTAAACGGAACTCAAACATGAATGTGGTTCTAAGTATTGAATAAATGCAGTCTCTATAAAATTATACAGTTGGGCTGATAAAGAAATACGTTTTAATATAGCTAGATTTCACAATTTCTTAAACAAATTTATAATAATATTTTAATAAATTATTTGTGACATTAAACCTACAATTTCTGCTGCCTCTCTCATGAACTGTTTAGAGCCGTCATTCCATATGGCAGGGACTGTTAACACCCATCGTAAGTCATTATCATCTATATCATGTAATCTAGATAATTTGTCATAACATGCAGAATAAATTTAATGATGTTGGGTTCCAAGAACAAATGTTAGTATTTTGGAATATTACTAATAGATACAACACAATCAAAATGGTGCAATTATAAAAGCACAACGTTAATTTAGAGCTATATATATTCTTTCTAATTGACGGATTAATACATATGTATAAATTTTGATATAATATAAAGTTCAATGGTACAATGAAATCGCTACGAAGTATACATCAATATATATCCTAAACAGATGTATCCACATGTATTGAACGTTTAGTTAATGTGTGTAATTCACTTGAAGTTGTTATAAAAAAATATGCTAGAGAACAATTTATCAAAATAGAATCCTATGAAAACTTGTATATCATTATTTTAATATCAAAATTGCATCTATTTGTTATCAATATTAGCAAGGTTTGATTTGAATACTTACATGTTACGTAGACATCCCATAAGGTGATCTTTCAAGTATTTGATAGCTATACCGAACACCTCTAGAGCCTTCATCTTATGACCAAATTCGTCTGTTATTTCTATATCTCGCTTTAATCCCTGTGATCAATTAGAATGTAAGATCAACAAGAGAAAGATAACAGTTTAAAACAATACGGCAACCAAGACATTGCAAACATGCCCTGCATTATAGAAGTAAAATACTAAAAAGGTAATATGAATGTCATTCAGCAGGACTATGAACAAGAGCTGTCACAGGAGACAGCCAAGCTCGACTAATAAAATACTGGACGCAGTAAGGAGGACAAAACTATGAAAGAAAAATCAATTATGTACAATTATGTATTAAGTTATAGTAAAAAAATAACATTTGTTAAGATAAATTCCAAGATCAAGGGAAACAATTCTAGAAATAGTCACGCTAGAGTTATGAACCTTGTCACACAACATGTATGTAATGATAAGAAGTATATATTTGAAGTTTGAAGTAGATACCTTAAAAAGTAACAAAGTTATAATATTTCTTAAAGAAAATCCTAAGTTCAAAGAGAGATAAATCTGTAAAAATTACTTCAAGAGTTATGAACATTGTCACATAAAATATAATTGATTATAAGGAATAAGTATTTGAAGTTTGAAGTAGATACCTTTAAAACTAAAAAGGTTATAGTAAAAATAACATTTTTCTAGTAAAAAAATCTAAGTTGATGGGGACATAATTCTTGCAATATTGGTGCTAGAGTTATGAATCTTGTCACATAAGGTGTGGATGATGATAAGGTACATTTATTTGAAGTATGAAGTTGATCCCTTTAGAAATAAATAAGTTACAGTAAAAAATAATATTTTTTAAAGAAAATTCTAAGTTCAAGGGGAGATAAATCTGAAAATATTGGTGCTAAAGTTATGGACCTTGTCACATAAGATGGGGATGATGATAAGGTACATATATTTGAAGTATGAGGTTGATCCCTTAAGAAATAAAGAAGTAACAGTAAAAAAATTGTATTTTTTAAGGAAAATTCTAAGTTCAAGGGGAGATAAATCTGAAAATATTGGTGCTAGAGTTATAAACCTTGTCACATAAGATGTGGTTGATGATAAGGAACATATATTTTAAGTTTGAAGTTGATGCCTTAAGAAATGACAAAGTTATAGTGAAAAATATTTTACTGCACCAAAACTTTAATCTGGACGCCGACGCCGGGGCGAGTAGGACAGCTCTCCATATACTTCGTATAGTCGAGCTAAAAATGCTGTCTTTATTTCATACAAAGGTACAATGTACATGACAAAACAAATCTGCCTTTATTTACACTTCAAATCTAAACACTTAGAAATATTCCCGCAATCAAAATTCTGCACAGAAGCGACGCTTTGCAAATTATGTCTTCCGAGAACGAAAAAAGGTTGACGCTTTTTATATGACCGGAAATGCATATCTTTAAGGTAATTGGTACCAATAAACAACATATCCTCACAGCTTTAATAACGAACTAAAAAGATCTAAAGAGATATGATTATATGAAATAGTATGAAAATGTTAAATTTCATAAATACCATTGAATTACATAGCATCATCTTAAAGCGTCTGAAATAATAGTAATCCTTGTGTTCCCCATTAATCGCTAGTTCACCATACTCGGTTTCTGCTTCATACCCAAAAGCTTTGAATGTCTTGTCTTTGTTTAGGAGAAGAATTGTCGGTGTTTTAAATGACATCAAGGATCCTGTACCAGCGATCCATTTTGTCTGAGCATAAACTTTTGTAGGGTCTTTAATATACTCGTGTTTTAAAGAGAATGCATATCCAGAGTAAGTCGTACCAAAGTCAATAGCTGCAACGACCAATTTATCTCCCTTACTGCTTGGTCCTCCCTTTGTACTACCTTTTGCACCCGACATCGTCAACCTTTTGTATTTCTGTAATTGCAATACCACCAATTAATTAGATAATTAGATAATTGAGTTAAATATTATTAAGAGAAATAATCATAAAAGCATCGTAATGTCTGTTTCAATGTTAAATTGTCCAGTCAGTTTATGGCTCATTCCAAAGTCAAAGCAAAAAATGTGCTTATGTTATGGTTTTTACAATAAGGAGAACGAAGAAAGCGAGCGCTAGTCCGCGACAATGGGTTCTTCAAGTAAAAGGGGTTTGGGTGCACCTCACACACTTCCTTTATCGGTTACGGCAATTAATATCTCGCAAGCTACCCAGTTAGCTTACGGAAAGTCGGTGGTTCTACTCAGGTGCCCGTTAATGCTTTAAATAATGTACAGAGGGACACCTGAGGTCTTCCTCCACCAGTAACTTTAGGTGGAAAGTATGACATTTACTATCTAGTGCTGGTGCGCGACGTTAAACCCCCCAAAAATATCTCGCAAGCTGGTTTTAAATCATGAAATTTGAGGACATATATATAAAGACAATCAGACAAAATTCCTTCGAATATAGAGTTGTAAACGAATGGAACCTACTTTCCAGTCAAGAATGTGAATGAGTTTAAATCAAAATTAGATAAACACTGGCAGTGGAGAAGATTCAAATTTGACGATATTTATTGAATAGACCAATACCGTAGCGGACGACAAGAAAATAGAACTCGAGGAGAATGGTTGCGGTAGTCGATCTGTTAGGGACAAATAAAGTTTCCCATACATCACAAGGTATCACAAGGTATGTATGCTAATTATGTATGTCTTTCAATTTATAGGCAATACGAGATATAAGAAATGAATGCTATATATATAATAGATATTTTTAAAGATACAATTTCTTCCGGTCCCTATACTTGTACTCCTGTTTATAACCATACATTGTATTTATAAAATTGGTGTTGCCCTAGAAGGACAAGTAGGCTTAACTTGTATTAAACAATCTTTCGTAATTTTTAAAGAAATTAAAGAATTACAATGTACTCCTGTACTAAACAATAACAATATGAAAACGAAATTATTAACGCGGAAACCTCCATAAGTTTTGCGAAAGTTTTCATGAAAAAAAAATATCCGTAAGTGATGGTGGACTATTTATGCTTTCGTATTTTTCAACCAATTGAAACTACATGTTTAAACACCATAAATATTGAAACAAGACGTTAAGTATTTAAAATATCGTCCTTTCTATCAAGTTAAGCCCCTTGTGTTAGATAAGTTATTCAAATAAGAGCGAAATATTTGCAAAATTGTTACACGTATTTATAATAAGTAACAGCATATGGCTACTTTCGATTTAATTACTCGCCGGTAGAAACCGGCGACTATATTTGTAACAGTTTAATATTATATCTATGGTAGGAGAAGGCCTTAAAATCTGAATATAAAAGCATATCAATAACTGAACAATTAAGGACCACAATTATTTTTATAATCTTAAAAATTCAAAAATAAAGTAACGTTGCTAAATGAAGTGAAATGTACAAATATTGACATCTTAAAAAGCAACATTACAATTTTCATAAAATGAATTAATAACGTATCCCTATGGACCCAGTCAGTGAATTTAGGGATACTTTTACTTTTTTTCTAAGTGTCAAGCGTTGCTATTTTATGATTGATAAATCATGAATGATATTTGAAATGACACATTTAAATTATTTGGTTGTTTATATCTTATGAGACCTATTATAATCCATTATTTTATCTAATTATAAACAGATACTCCCTGTTCTATTGTAAGAATCACGTGACTACACGTTGTATGTTAGTGTTATAGAATCTATTAATAGTAACATATTGCTGATAAGAAATACCAGTTGGAAAACGGTATGGCGGCTAATTAGATGCAAATGTATAAATAATTACAAAGTTATCTTTCATTAATCAGTTTCATATTTTATATCATTAGAAAGGTCTGTATACTCATAATCAGCACATTAAAGAATTAAATAAATTTTCAAAACCTTTTCATTTTTTCTTGGTAAAGTGTTAAACTTAATTGGCCCTTTCTGTCAACGTTCAATAGTTTAGTTTAGGTTGAACATCACGCTAAAGAGGCACATTTATTGAAATACATAGTGGTAATCGTCGTCTTCGTTATATTCCGTCGATTTCCGTTGCGCAAGTTACCAAAATGGTATGACGGATCGTATTAGATACATAATAAAGAAAACTAATAAAATATCTTTTTGTTAATATTTTATCGAACTGAAAGGCAATTAAACGTCGGTATAGATGGATACCGAAAATAAGCTATTTTAGCGAAAATAAGATCGCGCTACGAAAATAAGATTTATTTTTGAAATAGTGCATTTAACTGTTGAAATAATTATGTAAGTTATATATTTATGCATTCTTTGCATGATTTTACAGCAAATTAAATTTTCAGAACCAAAAAAATATCTAAAAAAAGTACAGTTTGAGCCGAAAATACATACGTACGAATATAGCTCAAATCGCCGTGTGAGCGAAAATAAGATAGATAGATAGATAGATAATTTTATTGACGTAAACAGTACAGTTTTTTTGTCATACAATTGCATATACATAAATATCATAATTTTATCATGTGATTTAACAAACAGTGAACACAATTTACATTGTCAACATATTGTTTGTGGAGGATGAATAAGATGTTTACATATATATGAATCAATATCATATACAAAATAAAAATAAAATAAATTGCTTCCATAAAATTCCATAAAAGTTAACAAAGCAAAGACTTTTTAAGTATAAAAGCAGTGTAAATAAATCTGGAAAGATTTCTTATTGTAGCTTGATTTTCACTCTTAAAAAGCTCTGTAAATTTTATAATATATGGTCTTCTATAAAAATAGGCTTTGATATATTGTTTTCTAAAATGTTCGTACAACGGACATGATATAACAAAATGGTATTCATCTTCAATATCTCTGTTTTGACAAAAAATACAATAACGCTTATTTCGTTCCACTTCTAGAATAGCGTCCAGTTTCAATAGCCAGTTTATGTGAAGATAATCTAAATTTTGATAAAACATTTCAAAACTTGAATGGCAATAAATCTAAATATAGTTCGAATCTAAATTCTGTTTTAAATTGCTTATACATAAATAATGTTTCACATTCTTGCAATCGTTGAAACCAGTTTTGTTTAAAAGTATCAATTAGTCGAGCATTAAAAAGTAGATGAAATTTACCTAGATCAACACAGGATGGGTTGTTCCAAACATATGAAAAACCATAGCAGTCCAAAATACTTTTAACTTGATATGCCCAGTTATTTTTGATAACATTACATTTACAAAAATTATCATATAATCTGTTAATAATATATTTGTAGACGATACAATTTTACACCAGAATTTAATAATGCGTACTATAGGTATATCTGTTAATGTAAAGCGGATAGCGCCCTAATTCACCATACACACCCATATTTGTACAACAAGATTTAACATTTAATAACATTTTGCAAAATTTCAGATGGATCCGTTCAATTTCTTTTGACTTACTGAATCCCCAAATTTCGCAGCCATAATTAAGAGTAGCTGTTACAAAAGCATCAAAAAGTTGGCATATAACACTAGGTTTAAGATTTAATCCCTTTATATTATGCATCAAAATATTAAGGGCCTTAAGGCCTTTACCAGCCAATGTTTCTTGGTTTAATATGAATGTACCCGTATAGTTAAAAACAATCCCAAGGTAATTAAAATTATCAACTATTTCTATGTTTTCATTATTATATGTCCAATGCTCATTTTGCTTTATGTGACCTCTTTTCCTAAAAACAATTATTTTCGTTTTGAGGGTATTTACTTCTAGGCCCCATTTGTTACAGTATGTATATAATAAATCTAGACTATTTTGAAGATCGCAAACAGTGTCACTTAAAATAACCATGTCGTCTGCAAAAAGCATTAGAATAAAAGTAATATCATCTAAGGTTAAACCAATGTCATGCCCTGTTACAACCTGAATTGTAATAAAACCGGAATTGTAATAAAATTATTACAAAACTGGTTAGGATGCAAAAATATTATTACATTTAGGTAGTCAACCTGAATTGTAATAAAACCCGAAAATGTAATAAACGGTCAAAACTCAAGAAAATGTGGCAAGAAAAGTCTCTTTCACATACATGGTGTTTAAAAAAACTAATTGGGACTTGGAATGTGGACATCGGAATTTTTATAAAACTTAACATGGAAACGAATTAAAACTAAAAGAAAATACATTTCAAATTTGAAGAGCAGAAATGGTATCATGAAGTTGATTACAACCTGCATTCTTTAAAATACTTGACATACATTTTATTCCTACGATACCATTGAGAAATTAAGGTCACAGTAATGTTAATTTATTTATAATATGAATAAATAAAGGAAGGATGACGTTCATTCAAATGTAACAATCTTAATACAATTCCAGAAAATGTGTCCATATAGTACCTTAAATAAACAATCTGAAGCGTAATGACATCGTGAAATTTAACTAACTATGTTATACGTAGCATTTTCATTTTCACCAAATAATATATTTTTTGAAGATCATCTTTACTAACGATATAATAGCAATAAAGAAAATTTGCTTGCTTGGTGTATAGAAAAGTTATTACAAAACCGGTTGAACTGCAAAAAAGTTATTAAAATTGCGTTGACGACCTGAAATGTAATAAAACTCAAAATGTAATAAACTTCTGAAAGTTGTCTTTTTCTAGAATAAATCTTCAACAACAACAAAAACGGAAAAGAAAAAAAATGATGAACAAACCAACTACTAATGAAAAAATAACGTTCTACATCAGTCAGTTATAAGAATTGTTGATTTTTGATTTAAATGAAAATGTAGGAGGAACAGTGAAAGTTAAGTGTAACAATTTTATTACAAAACCGGTTGAATTGCCAAAAAGTTATTACAATTCAGTAGACAACCTGAAATGTAATAAAAAATCAAAATGTAATAAATTTTTACTAGTTTTCATATCATCTACTAATA